CACCGTGCAGCCCCTTTAGCACATGTGAGATTGTAAAAATAAGTCCACAGTGGGAGCAGGGTGAGATGATGCAGTAAGTTAGATTTGAGAGTTCCGCTTGGGAAAGACCTTGAATCCTGGTTCAAGCTACACATTGATGTTGACTTTTAGCAGGACGAGCATGTTGTCATCTGGTGGGAGGAGCTTAGAAAATAGAAACCTTATTAATCCCAAAGGGAATTCTTGCAGAAAGGGGAGCTGCAGGAGGAGGAGGGTGGTATGTTTCCAATTCTGCTGTTCTTTTATTTTAAATTCCCTTTTCCAGATTTCTGCCTCCTGCAGCTTTAAACAGACCTACCTTTAAGTCTCACCTTGAACTCTATGGTATTTTTATACTGCTGTTATATCATACTGATACATTTTATTATTTGTAAAGTGTATTTGTTGAACTTTTCTTACGTGTCGAGTGGAGCCGCTGTCTCTGAGGTGACACGTTGTCCAGTTAATGAAACCTTCATTTGTTTGCACTGTGTGTTTATGTGTAAGACTGTGTTGACTCACCCCCACCGACCCCCCACACGCCTCCATCCAAAGGCACTTTCATCAGGTTAGATGCAAGCTTACTGAACTGAAGTGCAGCCTGTTATTTCCAATGATTCATTTTCGAACTGGAAAGCTAATGTCCTCTCTCTAGGATTCTCATTCAGTTTCACCAACCAGTCAATAAATATATTTCTCTTCCTAACAGGGGGAGCTAATAATATTGTCTATGACTGATTACCGCTATAACACAGATTTGGAGTGCACCAGTCATACATTATGTCAAATTGCCGAGCATCTTAATAAGGTAGCTGGATTCTGGGATGATTTAAAATGCTCCCTACTCAAAGTTTATAGCACTTATCCAGCCTGCAGCACAGTAATCAGAGTTGCAGTAAGAAGTCATTAGAATGACTTCTAGACATCTTCAGACTGTCTGTGCTTTCATAGTTTACATTCCTAAAACAAGTATCATGATTTTTAAGGCATTTTTCCCCCCACGTCTACAATCTTTCTTTGGTAAATTTTGGAAAACAACACCAACAGTTTGTAGAAAAATATTACTGATGCAGTTGAGACAGTTGTGTTCTTACGCATTTGTCAGTCACTTGTGTTTGGTTCTTCCTTGGATGTGTGTCCTTGTTAAAAGTTAGACTGTCAATCTGTCAAGTTAAAACTGAAAGCTTCTTTGGCCAAAGCCAGCTGTTCACAGAGTAAACAAAATGTTTCTACGGAGCCCAACAAACGAGACAGAGCTGGATGGATGAATCCACACAGATTGTTTGTCTGCAGTCGTATCCCACACACTGAGATATATAATAATTAAGCTGTACACAGCATCTAGTGTTTGCAGCTTCTCTGCAGGGACTTTGTGTTGCAACAAAGTGAATCTTTGCAGGCTACTGTGTCGTGTATGAAAATAACAAAAGATTGTAGCAACAAGTCTGCAACAGTTTTTTTTTTTTTCATGCACTAACTTTTATTTCTGTTGTGTAACAAAACAGAGACATCTTGTATAATTCCAAAAGTTTTCACAGCTAAAATGTTGAACGAGTGTGTTTTATTTAGTGTGTAATATCTGTAAGTATCTATCTATTAACACATATTAGATATTATATGTATCTTCATTGTTTTAATACATGAAATTGTGAAACATTATTGTATTATGGATGTGAAAGAGATATCCATGATAGTGGAAGGTAATCAAACTAATCTGGCTTCATGCAAATGTACACCCCTGTTGGCTTTTCTGCCTTTGAACTGCACTTACGCCTCATTTGATTCCATCTTAATTACATTTTCTAGCTTACCAAATTAATTAATGCCAGTTCCATACGTGCAACAGGGTATGACTAATTTCCTAATTTCCTCATTTCTGTAGAGCTGCACAAACGTCCGAAGTCTGCGTATCCTATTAAGTTGTGCATGAATTCACTCTGATTCCCAAATTAGTGACTCAGATCGAGTAATATGCCCTTACAATAAGCCAATTAAGATTTTCTTTTTTTTTTTTTTTTTGCCAGATCATGTTTATTATAATTTAAACCTTCATTACAAGGCAACGTACGCCAGCCAGGCCAGTGTCACTGATCAGTTTCTGTGCTGATGTGAGCTTCATGAGGCAGAAATGAGTGGCTTTAAGAGACTGCAGAAAAATGTGAAGCAGGTAAAATTAGATTTTTTAGGTAAGCTCAGCTGAAAGCAAAATCAGCTACATTTTTGCATCTTATCTTGCCGGTATAATGACTTTTCATACACTCCATTTATTTTCTGGTGTTAGAGATTAAACTGAGTGCTGTGCGATTAGAGTTTAAGAGTTTTTTATTACACTTCCTTACCGCTTACAGTGCCTCCCTGTTTGTTTTAGATATCACTAATTTCGTCTTTATCGATGTAAATGTACCAAAACAAATCTGTAATTTCATGTCCTTTTCTTGTACTACTTTTAAAGACCCCCCTGAGTGAAAAGCACACTGAAAACACAGGAAAGAACATTGCACGCTGCCTAAAAACCAAGAAACAAAACAAAACAAAAGAAATAAAACTTTAATTACTCTGGGACTTTTTTTTTTCTTTTTAGAGGTGTGAAATATTGATCAAACTGTGTCCTCTCAAGCTTTGTGCTGGCTTGTTGTTTTGGAATTGGAAAAGCAATTTTGTTAATAAGAAAGTTTAGAGGTGCTATAGGGATCCTCCACCAAGAAGTTTGTGCCGTCACGCCTTCAAAGAAAAACCTCCATTTGTAGATTAAAAAAGAAGATGAGTGGTCTCTTTGATAAGACACTCAGTCTTACAAACGTTCCCTCATGGCCAACCCAAACTCAGTGGGCGCTGACATATACAGACAAACCTTCCCGGCTCCATAGGGATCTGGTTAATCAAAGCGCTGGGTTAAGGGGCTGATTAGAGACGCTGATGGTCAAGAGACTTTCACCCTGATTAAAGACGAAGGCAGACAGAGTCAAATAAAAGACAAAAGGGCAAAAACCAGCTGGAGATCAGACTCAGAGAGAAGGCAAGTTAGCTGGCTCCCTGGTTTACGCTGACACATAGCATATTGAGAGTTTATAGGTGAGCGTGCCTGTCACTCCTTATCACCGTGGTTAAAATTGAGGCTTTAAATGAGTAGTTTGGAGAATACAGAGTCGTCTCTTCGGTAGGTGAAAAATGTCCGACAAGCCCAGAGCAAAGTAAGCCATTAATAAATTCATAGTTGACAATAATTAAGTTTGCAGAATTGGTATAATGAAAGCCTCGAGCCACACAGATGAATAGTTAATAAGACATACATTTCGAAAAATATATGAGAAAACAGTTCAGTTTGACGTTGGAGGAATCAGATTTTATCCTTTTGTTTCAGTGTTACCTGTAAAAACACAAAAGCTGAACTACTACTTAAGGCTCGGTTGTGCTTGAAAACAAATCCAGTTCATTCAACTTGCCATCTGTCCATATTTGAAGGCCGCACGCGAAGGCAGACAGAAAAGCCAGCTGTCATAGCCGGAGGCAAGATTCTACAATCATTCAAATATGGGGATAACAGCTCACAGTTTAACACAGTCTTTCACCAGAAGTAATCATATTGTTGCACTACACCGCTCTGCTCCAGACTGAATCATCTCAGGAACCTGAATTACCATTAAATTCCTGTTTCCAGTCTGTAGAGACATACCAATTAGCTACAACACTGAAACCACCAACCTAATATTGGGTAATTCCCCTTGTGCCAACCAAACGGCTCTGAATCGTTGGGGCGTGGACTTGGGATCTCCTGTGTCATATCTACTGAGTCAAATCCACTTATCTTCAGTTTGATATGATCTCAAGCAAACAACAAAAAAATTAATTTCCTGAAAATCTACAAAAATGGGGTTATCTGTTTTTGCAAATTAACTCTTCGAATGTATTCATACGTTTTACCAAGTGTTTAGGGTTAAGAGAAATTGCTATATGAAATGTTATGTTCTTTCCAAACAAAAAGATGTTGTCCTATCACCATCCATCCATCCATCATCTGTAATCCTCACTAGGGTTGCGGGGGGCTGGAGCCAATCCCAGCCAGCTCAGGGTGAAGGCAGGGGACACCCTGGACAGGTCACCAGTTTATCACAGGGCTACACTTAGAGACAACTACGGACGATTTAGAATCACCAGTTAACCTCAACATGTTTGTGGACTGTGGGAGGAAGCCAGAGAACCCGGAGAGAACCCACGCTGCACGGGGAGAACATGCAAACTCCACACAGGAAGAACCGGGAAATCTTCTAACTGTGAGGTGACGGTGCTAATCACTGAGCCATCGGGCAGCCATCCTATCATCATCATTATTTGCATTGAATACATTTAAATGTGAATGGTGATGTTTTATTTTTTATTTTTTTATCATGCTGTTGAGTCCAAAAAAAGAAAAAAGCACCAGATACTTTCTATCATAGATTCAGATAATGCCATAATTGAATTTCGACACTTTCCATGAAGCTGTGTCGAGCTGATCACATAAAATCTCAACCTGAACAAGTCCGATCTAAATGTTGGATGGAATTCTGTCCCAAATGGCAGAACCCTGACATCCAATGACCGTGTGGCTGGCAGTGACAAGTCACAGAGCGAGCGAGCTCTGTGGACATCAACCACAGCCTGCCTTCATGAGAAAATACATCAACATGTCAATTATTGAGTAAGAAGTCTGACTCATGAGATAAGAGAACATCTGTCCCACCTTTGGCCCAGTTTTCGGCATCCCTCTCTGTGAAACATGTTTCCACTGCCATCAAACTTACTGTACGAGCCCTCTGAGACTCGGCTCGCCAAGTCATTGGATCTTCCGAGGCGGAACTGTCACGCAAGATGGTACACTGTGTGCTCTGAGCAGCTTTTTATTTATTAAAGCCCAAAAACATCTTACAGAGAATGAATCCATGGATCACAGTATGAGCTTGTTTTGACATCTTTTTTTATTCGGAGGCAGTTTCATCCATGAATGAATTTAAACAATCCGTTCTTCAGAGAAAACGTGCTTTCAAATTCCTTAAACATTCCAGAAATTATCCATTTAGATCAAAACTGTACACACCATTGCAGCTCTATTTACCCAGTGTTTGACTGCCTCTAACACAAATTTACTCTGGCATTTTATCAAAGCCAGAAGGCAAAGCACGCGCAGTCCACGCTGACAAACAATTGTAAGATTCAAAGCTGTGTACTGATATAAAACAGCATTACAAATAAGTAATAACTAAACATGTATTAAAGGCAAAACAGGAATGATTAAAACTTAATTTCCCTGTCTGTGTAAACAAAATCCCCTGATGATTCCCAGCTCTACCATTAGGAGGACAATTTGGGAAGTTGATATGGGCTACTTTCTTCATTTCCCTTACATGTCATCAGCATGTGGTTGAAGCTGGGCGGAGCGGTGGGGATCCAAGGTCACGGTAGCTATGTGACCAGTAATTGGGTCTACGTGGAAATGACCCATCCTGTCCTCCTGACTGCTGTTCAGAGACATGGGCTCCACGGTGGATTGTTCTTGGTTCACTCTCAGCTTCCCCATCAGTGCGGTGATATCTTCAAATCCGCGGTCTCCTGAGAAATGCCGGTGCAGGGGCTCCGATTCATCCTCGGTGGAGAACGGGGAGTCAGCGACATGCAGCACGCGGGAAGCCTGAAGGTTCTGCAGGGACCGTGACTGGACTGTGGGAGAATAAGACACACAGGAGGGAATAAATAAGGCCGAGCCTCTGCGGGCAGCTGTGCTTGGTCTTTGTGTGACTAAGCTGGCATTTCGTAAGGTGGGTGTGTGTCTTCCATGCTTCCGTGAATTCAGACAGTCGCAAGTGTATCAAATTCAAACCTAAAAACATTCAAAATGTTCAACTTGTAGCCTCTGGCAATCAGAGAAAGTGCAGCAGTGATTGTTATTTCAAGGCTGTAGAACCATTCATGGTAACAAATGACACCTTACTGCTGTGCAAATCCTAATCTTGCCTCAAAATGAAACACTTTTTGGGGGTGTTTGTGCCGATGAATTCTGTTAATAAGGTAAAAAATGAACGGTAATTTATTAGAAACTGTCGACAGAGTGATAGCTTAATAACCTAAATGATAAGACACAGCTTTGGCCCTCTGTGCACTGCCTCTAATCTTTAACGTTTTAAGTCGACAGCAAATCCTCAGACAGGCGGAGCAGGCTGTGAGGCTCGGCAGGTGAGAACCTTTCCAGCAGCGGGTGAGACTACAGTTCTAACAAGCTCCACAGCTGTGACAGAGAGGTGCTGGATTAGTTGGCGGGCGGCTGCACAAAGCTATTTGGTGCTGAAGGTTACTCACTTCTGACTGGACTGAAGTCTCCTTGGCTGACCTTGGTGTCAGAGAACGGCTTGAGGCTGGGGAACAGGATTAGGGAGAAGGACAGCAGGAGCACCTGCGTATGTCATGAAACAGAGAGTTAGATAAAAGATAGTTTTTTACATTGTTGAACTTTTGATTGGCCAATGGCATGAACACAATATGTGTGAGTGTGCTTCCAGATCCAGAAACGGTACTAATTTGCTTGTCACGATGTGTCTTGTGAAGCCAATTGTTCTGCAACTCATGCTGCATTTATAGATTATAAAGCAAAATTGTTAAAGTTTTGCTTCAGGTTTTGCACTTTATTCCAAAGTAGTGATCAAAGACAGGGAATGACTTCAGTTCAGATTGGGAATTTCTATTTATGGGAAATATTTATTGGTCGCTGTCCATTGTGCTGATATCTTGACCGGCCTTCTCAATGGCTAATCCAGCTGCAATGGTTGGTCAGTTTGCTGTGAATCTGATTTTTTTAAAAATTATATGATGAATCTTGCTAATCCAGCCGGGACACACAAAGAGGACTCCCCGTACCAGTACACATGTCCCAGTCTGGGCTGGTTTGCTGGATGTATTCATGACCAGAGCCTGCAGCCTGCGCAGCTGTTCCATTAGAGACCTGTGTAGAGTAATGTGGGGAAAAGGGAAATGATACAAAAAAAATAGAGACAGAAATAATTGGATTAACAAGGGGCTGAGGGAAGAGAAATGTAAGAAAAATGCCTTAAGGCAGTTTCTGAGTAGGAGAAATGTCATAACAAACATCACCGAGAGATTACAGAGAAAGAAATGGTTGGAAATTTAAAGAGAAATCTTGCTTTAAAATTGCTCACATGTTGCATTTCTCCAGCTGTGACACTTTTCTCTGCAGTTCTTGGTTGTGTGCACTGCAAGCAGCCATCCTGGAGGGGATTATGCACAAGGGAGAGACAGGAGGAGCAGAACAAGGTAAATCCAGCAGAAAAAGTTAGAATTTCACTTATGTTGACACTACAAATTTGTCATTACATCCCGATGTGTAGAGATATTTTTAAACCAAACAAATGTTACAGAAGAGTTTCTGAACTGCACCACTTCAGGATCATGCAGTTGATTTTGCATGTTTTGGCTCATTACTTATTATATATATATGTCTTCGATTATTTTCCACTGTGTTCAGAATCTTACATTTCAGATGTATGGAATTCTGTTCATCAATATATTAAGGAGACTATGACTTTGACACAAAATCGATGAGAAAACAGATTATCAAGCAAGTCCCAAGATTGTTTTCTTTTTCTTTTTTGCTTTTTAAAAAGCTTTCATTGTTAAAAAACATTTGGTGCCACTTGACATTTAGCAACGCAGAGAGCCGACTGACACCGAGGAAGGAGGGGAATGATAGATGACAAAGGCCAGGATCAAATCACGGCGAGACAAGGTGACATTCATGCTCTGCTGAAATGGAATGACCGAGGGCTGCCTTCAGGATACATCGGGAAAATAATCAAGCAATTGCTTCATGTCTCGGGAAACGATTACCGGTAACTGGATTTATTGTTAACATGCTTAAACATGCATAAAACACATCATTATTTTCACTGTTGGCCTCGTTTTAATTAGAACTTCACCTGCTCTCCAGGCCATCGATGTACTCCTTCTTCTTCTTCCTGCTCTCCTGGGCCGACTGCTTGTTGCGAATCTTTCTGCGTATTTTCTTCAGAATCCTTTCTTCGTACTGATTAATAGAGGATTTAAAAAAAAACATTATTTCAAGACTCTGTGGGACAAACTGTAGGAGCTGATGAGTGTTCTTATTGTTTAGGTAATTAAAGCACTTTACCTTTGTTAGAGGTAGCTGGCTGGGAAGAGTGACCCCCTCCTTCGCTAAAAGCTTCTTCTCGTCTTCATTGAGAATCAACTCTTGAATGGACTTTTGGGATGGCTGTGGGGGCTGGTGGAGAGATATGAATACTAATATTGAAAACATCACCACCGATGTTTGATTAAACTACCTCCTTCCTGCTCTCTCTCTCCCTGGAGCATCATAGGAAGCATGTAAATGACTATCAGTCCACCTCCGTCACTCTCATTTCATGGCCACCTCAAAGCAATTATGGTGTGAGAACCTAAGCAGCATTCTGCCACTCTCTCCTTCATCTTAAAGTGGGCTGAGAAGATGGAATCAATACCCGCGGTGAGCTGAAATCCACTCCCCCGCATACCCTCAAGTTTCCCAAGCCCCACTACATTATTCTACCCGATTATAGAAATATTTTCTTTTTGGAATCAAACGATAGTGAGAATGCTGGAGAAACTGACTTTCTCGCCACAAAATGAAGGTTAGAAATCTTATATAACTGCAACTTTTCCATATTTAAAAAAAAAAAAAAATCACATGAATTAACACATTTTGGTATAAAAAATGACATCAGAATAGAGTTGATTCACCTCAATTCACCAATTTTCTAAAATAAAGGTCACGCCAGCTCATATTTTTTGGATTTGTTTTGTGCATACTTATGTTATTAAGTAAAACGTGTAAAGTCTTTGTTTTGCTTTCAAAGTCAGAGAGAGGGGTGGGATCGTGTTGATTTTTGCATCATTTTCTTCAATCTGTGGAGCAATGCTTGAATGGCCATAACTTAAGAAATAGCTAGAGTCCTGGAATTGTGCAGGCTCATTGATATGTACATATACTCCTTAATGGTACCACCCTGCCTTTATAGACTCATACAAAATAATTATGTGATTGTGTAAATTTGGCCAAAAAAATGTATATTCCACCAACCACAAAACTTATTTTTCACCCTAAGAGGCTGATTTGTTTCCTCTGTGACTGGCACCAATAGGATCTTTAAAAATTCATACAATACTTTAAGAGAAAAAAAATGATTGAAATGATCTTTTTTTTTGCGTTTGTGGCCGATATTTGAACTTGCATTGGGCAGGTATGATGTGAAACCACTCTGATAGTGGTCCCCGCTGGAAGAGTTCTATAATATTCTTACTAGGCTAAAAGGAAAACCATTCAACTCAGTGTTTCAAATAATTCGATGAAAAGTGGTACCATTTTAAACCAAAAGCCAAATTGAAGATGGCATGGAGCATTCAATGAATGCTAACCTAACTGTTTTGTGTTTTAATCCCTCAGGTTTGGAAAAAACAGCCCAAGTTGCTGCATGTTCAGCAAATCTTCCTACAGACTAAGTTTTAAAAATAGGAATTTCATTTGCAATTCCAAAGGGCCTTGCCCCTTGGCGAATTCATGATTTCAGGGAGTGTAGTCATAAACTTGTTTCCATCAAAGTACACAGGCACAACTCACTCATGCACGCGAAAAGGCAAACAGCAGGAGTCAAGCAGGCAGAGGAAGATACACACAAAAAAAAAAACACCCATAAGACACCACGGCTGCACCTTCCCTATCAAACACAACCAGGACACACTTACTGGCTCCGGTGTGCCAGATAGCAGCAGATCTTTGACAGTTAGCGGGAAGCCGGAGGACAGCTGCGGTCTGTGTACATCAGAAGGATATTGTGTAATCCTCGTCTTGCCCGTTGCGAAGCCGAGCTCCCAGCCGTCTGCACCCGCACAGACACAATGAAACACATTGAGCACATGCAAACAGAGATCAATAACACACGCCAGCGTCACAGTTTGGATTCTGTGTTAAAGAACAACAACCAAAAAAAAAACAAAACAAAACAGTAGAGCAATGACATTTGGAGCCTGAAAACTGTGCAAATACTAATCACTCTGCCTGATCCTCAACATGTGTGCTTTTCGTCAGCAGAAACGTCAGCATCTTCCATAATTTGAATACGTTTGTACACAGACATGAATAATGTATATCCTGGAGTTCATGTGCAGTATTTCAAATTCATCCATTTCCAGTGAGCGTTCATTGCTCACAGCCATGAATGGAAATGCTGTTTAATATAGTTTTATCAGATTAAATGATGATGATGTTGTGGCTTTGATGCCAGTCAAGTGAATTTTCAAACAAATATGAATATCTTCCTGCTTTGTAACATGATTCCTTTTTGTTTTGGACTATTGGTGAAAAGAAACACAACATCTGATAACATGTATTTGGACACTGGGGGCCTTGTGACAGATGTTTTTCACATCGTGTCATCGACCAAATAATAATAGTTCAACAGAAAACTATAATGTGTGACTTACTGAGGTCAATGGAGACGTTGGCTTCCAGGGCTGCCTTTGTTGGGGCTTTGGTGCCGAGGTACTGAGTGTCCCCAGGCGGGCTCTCAGGACGCTGAGGACTGTCCATCTGGTCTGAAGGAGGGTCTTCACTGATCCCGCTGTCACTGGGAGATGGGGACCAGAGTGGCGAGGCTGACACAGACTCACTGCCACTCAGGAGGGCATTTAGAAAGTAATCATCTGCCTGTTCGTCCGGCTGCAGCATCTGCTGGGTGGAAAAACGCCGCAAGTGCTATCATTAGTCTGTCTGTCAGCGTGAGATGACAAGAAGGGGACAATCTTTGGAAAACAAACACCTAGAGTACGTCAACAAATGAAATATACAGCTGATAGGAAGACATTAGAGATCCGACAATGTCACGCACATTTGCGTCTTGGATTGGCCAAGTGTGATGGTTGCTATGGTGTCCAGTTTCCTCGTGACGGAGGATTCCTTCGTTTTGATCAAACAGCCAGTCCAGCAGCTCAGTGCCATCACAGCCCTGGAATGAGATCACAACATGTAATGACAACACCCGATGCTCTACAGAATGTTGTCATGTTTTTAAGAAGCACAAACAACACGACTGTAAAGGTTTCTACACTGCCACAGCTGAGGGCTTCTCCCTGAGCACACTGTACTGGATTATATGTTCCGCAGATATCTGCAAGGATCTCACATTTTTATTTCTAAAGTGCTACTTATGGTAATTTTATCTTTTCAATGACATTCTAAAATGAACATTCATGTACAGATTTAGATTTCAGACCTGTAAGTAGGTTTGTAGTTTGCTCTCAAGCTTGAACTTTGCTCTGTGGGACTTTCCAGTCTCCCCTGTCACAATAACCCACATTTGCCAAACTGCAACGCAAAGACAACATTAAAACATGTACCTCATCGTGGTAGTGCTCCATCGCTTCCCTGCTCAGATGGAAAACCAAAGAAGCTCCTAAAACAGCGGAGATCCAGTCAAAATCCAATTCACTTTGTTGTGGAACAGCTTTGTCTCCGGCCCACTGTATCTCTCGGCTCTTCTTCTCGGGTCCAAAGTTTAAACTCCAACACAACACACCCAGTCGACTGACTCGCTTTGCCCTCATTGGCCATGAGAAGATATACCAGTAATGTGATTGGTAGTGAAGAATACACAAGTAACCAGCAACACGAGTGAGTCTATCTGGAACCTGAGGACATGAAGTCTCCAGTAAGATGCAGAACATCAGAAAGGGCAAAGTCTGCTGTTTCCTTTTCTCTTATTTTTTTGATAGCGTATTGACTTAAGGATAGCCCCGACCTTTGGCATATATTCAAAACACAATGAACACGCATGACTCGTTTTTAAAACAAGTCAACAACACCAATTTTAAACGTACTACTGAATCAGAGTGTTTCTAACAATCTGTACTGTAAAAACTAAAAGAAATGAAATAATACATTTTTAAACTGCTTGAAAAAACAGTTTGCTGTTATTTTATAGATTTTCCCGAGTTTGGCAAATTACTGAAAATTAAAACCACAAGAAATACAAAGAAATACGACTGATATTTAATTAATAAATTCTTTACATGTTGACCTGTAGAAAAAAAAAGCCAAAAATAAAACAAAACAAACATCAAACATCACAATTTGACTTTTTAAAGGTGTGACTGTAAAATTACAGTTTTACTGAACTTAAAAATCACATTATTAAATCTTTAACATTTTTTTTTCTGGCACTCTTGCTACCATATTTCTTTTACTTTTTACTTTTTGTGAGTGTGTTATGTTTTGTTTAACTGTTACACATTTGTATGTTATATTTGTGTCTCAAATCAAAGTGTTAAATTTTTAAAAAGTTAAGTTAAGTTAGATGAAGTAGTTGTTGTTTTGTGTATGAGTGTGCTAGGACAGTTCTTAAGGGCAGAAAATCCAGTTTTTGTTTGTTTGTTTGTTTTCAATGAGTTTCTCAATGTATACTGATATTTTCCGTGTGTACACTGTCTAATCTTGGATGAAGCCTCTGCAACAGACTGACATTTACCAAACCCACACTGTCAACACAGTGATCATTAATCATGGTCACTTTCTTGTGGTCACTGTGCAAACGCACATCGTTTCACTGCTTTGTAGTTGAATGCTGATAGACTTTTGCGTGTTTGCTTTTAAATCCTCTGATTCAAAATTGTCACACAAACGAGTCCTTGTCATCCGTAGCCTAAAGTACATCTTCATGTTCGGAGCGGTTGCCATCAAAACCCTCTAGTCTCACTAGTGTGATGAACGCTGCTGGGCTTTTTCTTTGCTTATCCATTGGAACAGTGAAACAAGAGGATTGTTGTGATGTCAAACTGGAAATAATAACACTGTCTACTGTCACTATCAGCCAACTTTGATTTTTAGAGGAAAAACATGAGAAGCACTGAGCTTTTTATCTTTTTTTTTTTTTTTCTTACATTTTTACACAAAGGCATTATGAAAAACAAATAGCTGATTGCCTAAATGAATGAACTGAAACAATCAGAGTGATGGCAATACAGCCTTGGGTCTCTAAGGATGCTTAAAACCATGATTGCACTGCAAAGTAGTGGATGAAAACATAATTACGCAGAAACAATTTGCATCTTCTATTATCTATGTGATTTGTTGAAGGGCTCTAATTATTTTTTCCTCAAAACCCAGAGTGAACAACAACTACTCCAATAAACAAAGTCATCTTGAAAAAAAGCCTGCACAAAAGTATACATGATAAAAAGTCATACTGGAGGCCACTATGAATTTTCGCTGGTAGAAAACGAACAAAACAGGATAACATACAACACCAGGAGCACTTACTGGGGGATAGAATTATCTTCGGCAACTTTGTGCTTCTTGATTTGCGTTAATTGGTTAATTCCGAGTTTGATATGCAGTATTTATAATTGAGTTTTTGGGGAGCTAGTAGACAGGCTGTTAAATTTGGACAGATTTGAGTTTGTTGTTTCCTCCCTTATCCAATCTGTGTGCTAACGGGTAAGCTAAGTGGCTGCTGGCTCTAACTACTCTTTGTAAGAAGGTCAACAAACACATTTGCCAGAATGTCAAACTATTTGTTTAAATCCTAAAGCTTTCTACCAGTATGAAACCCTGAGCACCATTGTGACTACCACAAAGGAGTTCTTTCAGGATATGCTTGACTCCCTTCATAAAAAATGTCACCCTTGTGTCCTCTGAGTCACTACAATGACGAAAGCCAGAATGAGGTCACTGCCAATAACCATCATTTTATCAGTTAATGACATCATGTATTGCTGTTGATGATGACTATAGATTTGTGAGGACTGGACAAGGAGTTGAGGGAGCACAAAAGGGTGAAGGAATAGTCTTCACCTGGTGTATACTTTACTGATGGTGCTCACCAGACGAGGCATTTCAGGCTGGTTTGGTGATCTTGAGAGGGAAAAAAAACAAAGCCAAAAATGAAAACAAAGGAAATTTAAAGTGACTTAACAATCAGAAAAGAGGATAGACCCATTTCACCAGAAATGTGATGAATGGACAGCTACAGTTCTTTACAATTCCTGAAAGGCAAAGCATTCTCGTAGCATCACATTGTGTTTCAGGAGACTGTGCATCCTGTTGGCTGATCCTCATTTGCATAAACTTAAGGTATAGAGCACTTAGGTGTGTCTAGCTGCCAATTGCTGCCTCTGGAAACTCCTGAAAAACTCTAACTAATCATTGTTAGTCAAAAATGAAGACAAATGCAACAACTGAATGGTTTATTTCTTGCCTGAAACACTTTCAGAAACACCTTTTGGTGAACTCTTTGTAATGTAAGTGTAAGTTTCCCAACAAGTCTTGGTCCAGTGAAGGTGCAGACAGCCAATGAGTGGCTTGTCATCCAACCAGCTTGATCTAAAATGACTTACTTCTTGCCTCAAAGGCTAACAGGAACACCTTTGGGTCAACTCTTGCATGTAGGTTATCAAACGAGTAGCCATCTTGGTCTAATCAGGTGCAGCCAGCGTTGGTCTGACTGTAGAAGGGTGTGGTCTACATTGGTGTTGACACTGCCTAATCATGTGCTCATCAAGTATCCACAACCCCTTGCTTCCAAAACCACCCCTGTGGACATGTACCAATTGAAACCACAGGGCTTGAATCACATGCCTTATGTACTGGAAGTCCATTCTACAAGAACAAACCACCAAATAAAAGAACAACACTGAACAGGTTGGTGAGGCCAGTAACTGCAGATCAGGAGTGTGGTTCCTGAGCCGGAGATACCTGCAATGAGGATAAAACTAGAGGACAAACTACCAGCTCGATCATTAAAGGTTTTGTATATGAGGAAAAGGATTTTAAATGCTAATCTGGATTTTACAGGACATCAATCAAAACAAACTAATACGGAAGAATATCATCTCTCTTGTAAAAGACTTCCTCGGGCAAACACAAACCATCTCCCCTCTGTTCTTCATCCTGGATGGTAAATTCAGATAACTCTCGACTATAAAGCGTTTTAGAATCTACCACTTCCTGATTTACAGTCTGCACTTTCAACATAGTGCTGACATAAAGTGACGCACATAGAAACACTTAAGTAAATGACACCCCACTCATGTATTTATCGTCCAATACATTTAAAATCCCAGTTCAACTAATTATCCAAAGAACTTCTACTTTATGTCTTTGTCCAAGGTGACTCTGATGAAGACACAGTAGGGCTGCAAATGTTATTAAACCAATTAAAATGTATTGATATAGCATGTTTACAACAACCCGAGGTAACCAAAGTGTTGTATATGTCATCAGATAGGCAGCAACATACTTATATGCAAAACAGATGGGGATAAAACACAGTATTAAACTTGTAAAAGAAAATTTTAGAACAAACCAAAATAGGATAAAACACCAAAATGGACAAGGAGGGACAGCAACAAGATGAATTTCTAAAATTTGAGAGAAACATGAAATATTAAGACTGTTAGGTACAAAGGGCACTGATACAATAATGTGGCCTTGAGGAAATTAATGCAGTGATGACAGTCTTCATGTCAATGAAATAGAGAAAGACTTTCAGTGTCACAATGTTCTACAACATCCTTTTTACGACAGAATTAATGTGTTCATGAAATGACACCAAGATTCTTGGCTGAAGGCTCACTGCCAGTGGTCACAGATGTCTGGTGAGGACTGTTGTTTTAAGGGGATGACCAAACACAGCTACTTCAGTCTTATAATCACTTAGCAGTAAACACTTTTTGGACATCCACCGCCTTATCCCCTAGAGACAGGCCAAATGGCTGCAACGGAGGTGGTGACATGGTAATTGAGGGGGAGATAAATTTGGGTGTCATCGGCGTAGCAGTGGAATGACAATTTGTGTCTACAGGAGATGGAACCCAAGGAGAGCATGTACTGGGAAAATGAAACTGGCCCTAGAAATCAACCTTGAGGTACTCCACAAGTAAGTGGGGCAGAAGAGGAATGCTACTCCCAATTTTAACTGAAAAGGACCTGTCTGATAAGTATGAAGCAAACCACGTTGCCTGTCTTCCCAGTAAAGGCCTGTGAATTAAGCAGCGTGTTCCTGCACCACCTTTGTGCTCTGGAAGTTTGGAAGATGTGCTGTAAACCTTTTTTGTAATAGAAAATGGTGAAATTACAATAGCTTAATAACAATAAAACACTGACTGTATTTTGGTGGCATGATGGAATAAAAACAATAGAATTTCAGCTACTCGTGTGTTCTTACCAACGTCCAACTTACAGGACATGGCTTGGCATACGACTAGTTTATTTGACTTGGCATGGACATACACGTAAACCATCGTATCACCCAATAGAACCAGTTGTGAAATCCATCAGAAATTAATAGAAAGCAAAAATGCCAGATGCATGTATTTTAGATATAAAAAATTTTGTTTAGAAAAATCAACAAAAATTCTGCACT